TTTTTTTTTTTTTTTTTTTTTTAAATGTTTAATCTGCCTGGTAATGGTTAGGGTGGTTTATCTTGGTTTAAATGCCTTTTCTTTTATATGTTTAAGAGGTTTGTGGTAAACAAAAAAAGTATATAAGTAAAATTATTATGTTTTTTAATCTGTGTTTTTATAAACAAAAACCTATCTGAGTAACAAACTATGTTATAATGTGGAATGACAGAATGATGTATCAAGCTTGAATGCCCATTGCCCAGTAAGTGCTTTCCCTACGTGCACGATTATGTACATTGTAATAAGGTTAGTAGATACAATAGCATGGTCCAAACTCAAGAAACCAAGGCAGTATATATCTGAAGAGGGAAGCCAATCTCAATTTCATTACAACACAAGACAAACAAAGAATAGTAGTCACTCTTGAAACCACCGATGAGCTAGAGCTTCTCGAGCCGTTATCCTCTCTTGCGGACTGTACGTCAAAAGGCTCGACAATAGCTCGAATCCACTTTCCGTGAGCAACGCCCCCCCTTTCAAACCATTAGCAGCAGCAGCAAAGTTGTGTTGCAGCACACAGTGTGGCTGGTCTAGATTAGTCACTATGATCTGAAGCTGCTCGATTTCCGATTCTCCTCTGAAGAGCACTTCTCCCAAGAAGAACTCTGCCATGATGCACCCGACCGACCACATGTCAACAGCTGGCAGATATTCGTGGGCCCCGAGGAACAGCTCCGGCGCCCTGTACCATAGTGTCCCGACGTGTGGCGTGCTGGGTTTGTCCTCGAACCGACTCGACAACCCGAAATCACAAATCTTGAGCTTGCCGTCTTCCGAGTTTATGAGGAGGTTGGATGGCTTGAGGTCCCTGTGCATGACCTCCTTCTCGTGAAGGTGGTGGACTCCCTCGAGCAGCTCCTTCATCAAGCGTTTGACTTGGGGAAGATCGATGGAGGGCTTCTTCTTCTTAAGGTATTCGTGGAGATCATAGTCCATGTACTCCATGACTACGTAAATCCCGTCAAAGTCATCCACGACCACCTGCTTGTACTCGATTATGGACGGGTGGCGGATGGAGCGGAGGATGCTTATTTCGGTTAGTGTGGACTCGCATAACCCGCCAAACTCCTTTTTCACGGCTACAATCTCGCGGGTCTTCTTGTGGCGTGCTCTGTAGACGGCACCATATGCGCCCTGGCTGATCATGTCAAGACACTCGTAGTCGTGTATGGTGCCGTACCATGAACCCGAAGTCGTGATCCTCTGTGACTTTTCGTCGGGACAACCTAACTTTCTCCTCTTCCCGCAGCCGGTGGTGAAATCGAGACACCGATCGTCTTCGTCGTGGTACTGTTGGGTTTTCTTGATGTTGAGGCCTTTGGGGCCTTTGGATCTGTGGGCTCTTTTTCTGCCGGCGAAGAAGGCGGCGTATCCAGACGGAAGTAGTGTACCTGTCGCCATGCGCGCAATTAAAACCTCCAAAAACTTTCTTTTGATAGGAAGAAACAGAGACTAAATTCTAGGAAATAAATTGATTAGCGTATATTATGTGCAGATGTAATTATTTAAGGACCTCAAATATCGGATTTTTACTTGGGTGGAAAGACTTCGTAAATACTACTATAATTTTTTTTTTAAGTCATTATTTCGTTTTATATTTATTTATAATTTTTTTTTTTTTTTTTTTTTTTT